GCGGCGGCGGCGGCGCGCCCCCCTGCACCTGCTATCACCGGGCATGCGCCTTTGACCCTCACCGCCCTGCCTTCGTCTAATCGCTTGTTCATCTTCCTTGGATTCCAAGCCGTGGCTTGAGGTCCTTACAGGCCTTCAGGTTCCATCCTGACGTCCTAGCCCTCTTCCTGCCTTGCCCACATCAGGCTGAAAGGTTTAAACATTCCCCCAGGAATACTAGCTAGGACTTATTGAGTGCTTACTGTGCCAGCCTCTGAGCTAAGAGCTTCACATGCATTATTTCACTGAATCCTCATTTCATAAGGCAGAGGTCATAATTATCCTCATTTTGAAGATAAGGAAATGGGAAGCTTAGGGAAGTTCAATAATTTGCCAAGGTCACAAAACCACTAAGTCATGCTAAGGTAGGAACCCATGAAGTCTACTTTAATCAGGCCACTTCTCCTAACTGCTGACTAGCAAACTGTCTTCCTCCATTACAGGCCCTGTAGACACCCACCCAAGAACTTCTCAAGTCAAAGGTATAGCTATAGCTACACCTGTCCACCTCACCCCTTCTTGGCCATTACCAATCAATCCTGTTGGAGGACCCGTCCCCCACTCTGATCTTTTTTACGTTGTCGCTTGCTAAGCTTTGCAGGGAAACAGAGCCCAGGCTCTCAAGGTGAATACCCAGGGGTAGACCCTCTTTAAACAAAGGGTAGGGAGGCATGGCGTCTGGGTTGGAGATGGATCTAGGGCCTCCAGTTCCACCCCCACCAGCAAATGCTGGCAGCAGTGTATGCCCTAATTCTGAAGACATTTATATCCAGAATGTAGGCTAGCCCGCCTCCTGATTTTCACCAAAGCAACAAAGCTCCAACCTCTGCAACCCCCTTTCTCCCCATTGCTTTCCTTTCCTGTCCCATTTCAAAGCTTCTGCATTCTTTAAGTGGAGGTGTGAGTCTTCTGGTGACCACAGCCTCGACCCGTGCCCATCCAGCCTGAAAGGACACGTTCAGAGCTCTGTATTTCAGTTATGGTCCTATTCAAACTCAGTATCCTTGAACCACACAATGGTCTATTTCCACCCTGATAATTGTATTTCCAGGCTCAAACACTTTGGAAGATGTTTTCCAACAGAGTCTGGAGAAGCAGCCTCCGATGACCCCTCTTGCTATTCTTTAGAACTTCCTCTTCAAAAGGCCTTTTCTAATTGGAATGTAGTCTGTCCTTACTCCTCAAGCTACTTTAATTGCTGATTTATAAACAAAAAATCCATTTGGGTCTTTTCCCACCAACTCTGAGGTGGACCTAGGGCCACATGTTTCATATGTGGGCAGGTGGGCCTCCTGCTTTGAGGAACCTCATCACTGATCACCCAAAACCTTGCTCAGGCTGTCCCCCAGCTGCTCTAGGAAGGTTAAAGACCTCATCTTTCCCACTCCATTCACATAGCAACAATGGAAAACCCATCTTTTCTGCCACTCTTTTCCCTTCACCCCCCAAACCCACAAACCACAATGACCTGGCACTTTCTGCTCTCAAATGGGCACAAATTCAGGAAGTAAAAGGGTAATCGGATGCAGCAATGTAATGAAGGTCAGAAAATGAACCATTCGCCACCTCCAACCCCGCCCTCAACCTGCCTTTGCTTTTTAGAATGGCCGGCACAGAAGAATTTAGTCCACTCCAAACAGATTTGTTAGATTTTTAATAAGAACATGGAAATCCCAATCAGCCCTTCAACAAAATTAAAATACAGAAAGTGAAATTAAAAGTATTCTACAGTAAATGACTTTTATTAAAAAAAAAAAAAAAAGGTAATTGTGAACATATAAACAAGCCTGCAGGGCACTACAGTACAGCTGGAAAGAAGATAGATACATTTTCCAATGTATCTATGGGCTAATGAATTCCATCGTTTTCAAATAAATTCTTAATAAAACTCCACAGAGTTGGAAAGTTTTGCTGAAAACATTTTTGGACAAAAAACCCAAAAAACCAAACAGACTCATGTAGGAAATCAAACTTTCCTTTGCATTCAGAAATGTAAGAGGAGTCCCAAGGGAACGCTGGTAATATGTGAAAATGGTTCCTGCGACACCAGTGTGTGTATCTGTAAAACACACCACAGCTCAGACATGACAAAGTTCTTTCTCAGATGGCTGTTCCCTCAAGATAGGACTGAGATGGGAAGGGAAGAAACTAAAAGAATCCTAAAAAGCCAATTCTTTTCAATTCTGCTTTGGCTGATTTTGTGCTATAATGGGCAGTTGATTTCTAAAAATCATAATTCTTCAAAGATTTTTATCGAAAGGAAGACTAAATGTAATGTGCCTTTCCTCATAATCCAGGAAAACAACTGTGGTATTTCAAAAATTCTAAAAATATCTACTTTCATGAAATAGTAACTATTTCACTACAAACCTATTTTTCACTAAATACACACGTTTCCTAATCCTGGAGCCTCCTGGGAAAAGCAGTGGGTTCTCCCTGGGTCCTGCAAGACTCCAGTGTTCACGAGAGAGATTGTGGGGAATGGCTTCACCCCGTCTCCTGGGATGGTCTGTGTCAGAGGTCACGTGCAGAGACACTGTCAGGCTTCCACCAGGTGTGTTTACGCAATTAGCCCCTACTTGTACCAGTTATGTGATTCCCCCTACCTCCAAACACATTCCCACTTAACTAGGCACGAGAGAACAAAGAAAAGAAAGGTGTGCCCACATTCCCGGTTTCCATGAATCTCAAGTCACGAGAATGTGCAGGAAAGCCCAGCAATGTTCAGGCAATTCAGAGTCCCAAAGACCACAGGATGGGTATGTGGCACCCTTGGCTTGGAGTCTGAAACTGTGTGTGTGAACAGTGTGACTTTCCTGGGTCAACCTTCAGTGTTGAGGCAGCGTAGAAAAGAGTGGCTGGAGAGTTTGTAATACTGACCACACAGGCTCCCAGTGAAGGGCCTCTGCTCCAGCAGAGAACCCTGCCGTTCCCTGTATGTGTTGTGAGTGAAAGACCTGCTTCACAGGGGAGTTAACAATTTCTCCATGCCTAAGATCTTGCCAGTTTGGATTCATGAGCCTTGAGGGTGCCGACAGCATCTTTCACTGCGTGATAAATGATGTTCTTCACCTGGAGAGAGCAATCGGCATAGTCAGTTCATGGTGGCCTCATATTATATTCTCAAGTGAAGATATATATTTTAAACAACCTATAAAGCCTACTAGTGAGTGAGGAAATCCTTCAACGAGGACTGCATACTTCCCAAATCAATCCCATAGATGATTTACAAATCACAGAGGATAGAAGGTCTATATTCAAAAAAGAATGATGAAATCATTTGAAAGGCTATATAATCACCATCATCTATGTACTTAGTACATGCTGGGCACTATTGCTAAGTTTTTTGTTTTTGTTGCTTAATTTTTTTAAATGTTTGTTTATTTTACAGAGAGAGAGAG